AGGGAGTATTAAAAATATTGACATAATAGATTATTTCTTAGAAGAGATGATGTAGGTCACTCTCATTAAGATGGAATAAGATACACGATAAGGAATGGGGTTTGGCATCAAAGGCAATGAATCACCCGTCACACCACATAAACAAAAAACATTAGAGAATAAATCAAAGAGAAATCTTGATGCTCCAGGCACAAATATCATATATTTCCATCTCGACATCTGGTACATACCCTACGAATAATGGCACTTTGCTGATTAACAGCCAGAGTACTGCAGTGCATTGCACAATACCCCTATCCGGTACTATGTAAAACTCTCTTTAAAACAAAATAAAGCTTGAAAAATAAGATGGGAGGCTCTTTTTTGTTCGGGGAAGATGGGAGACTTATGAGATGGTCCATGTCAACTGTTCATCCTTTCTTCCTCTCTCTCCCTCCCCCCAACCAAATCGCTTGCATCATATTTGCCGACGCGGCATGCGATAACCATGGCATGGTGGTGGTGGTGGTTTTGTTGTTTCTCCACTCCCAATTGCCCAAGCTCCAAGTTTGCATAACCCGTATAAAGTTACTTAACTGAGCCCTATATGCGTGCTACATGTTTTGATTGATTTTTTGTCTACAGAAACCATGAAGAAAAATATATCAACAGGTGCCCGCCATTGCAACCCTGATAACTTCTGCCATGATTAAATCATCAAAAGAGTTCCAGCGCAAACGTTGGGGCGAGAACACGGGGACATATGACCCACCACCCTTGTTCGCGGGCATGTCGCGCTATATAGGAAATGCTTTTGCCCACCATATGCACGGCAAAATTTCGGTTTGTTTGGTCCTGGGCCTAGCACTAGCACCCCGACGTCTGAATTCTTTCCATAATACTAGTAGTACTTCTACCGACTTCGGCTTTGGTAACGAATAAATCTATTAACTTTTCTTTCCAAATCTTTATCAGGATTGTGTTTGCTCCCGAAGGCATGGATTTCGGTATGTGTATGGTGGATCCAAGTTCCTGAAGAACAAAGGCAACAACAAAAAATAAATAAATAAACAATGCATCGCATAAACCAAACCAGAGGAGAATAAAAATAAAAACAAGAAACAAAACACGGGAGACGGCCCACGTCGACGGTCCCTCCCCCCCAAATCGCATCGCATTCGTCGACGCGGCACGCACCGGCACCGGCGTGCCGGCGACGGCGGTTTGATCTGTCGTCCCTTCCTTCGCCAACTAGCCGGCCTCCGGACCCTCGCATCCCATCTCGCCCCGCGCCGCCCCGATGAAGATCACGGCGCTGCTGGTGCTCCGGTCCCCGGGGGACGCCTCCTCCTCGTCGTCCTCGACGGCGGGAGGGGGCGGCGGCGGTGAGCTGCAGCAGGCAGCGGTGCTGGCGAACGCGTCGGACGTGACCCGCTTCGGCTTCTTCCAGCGGCCGGCCGCGCGCGAGTTCATCGTCTTCGTCGCCCGCACCGTCGCGCTCCGCACCCGCGCCGGCACCCGCCAGACCGTCCAGCACCAAGGTGACCACCCCCCTCTCCGCCACTCGAATCTGGTCTGAATCTGGTCTGACGCCCTCCGCCTCCCCTGCCCCTGCCGCCTGCAGAGTACAAGGTGCATTGCTACAACCAGGGCGGCCTCTGCGCCGTCGCCTTCACCGACGACCACTACCCCGTCCGGAGCGCCTTCTCCCTCCTCAGCAAGGTGCCGCCGCCCCACCTGCAAATCTCCAACGCGCTCCTCGCCTGCCCATCTGTTCCCAAAATGACTGCTTTTCCCATTGTTTGCCTGTAGTAATACTAAATCTCATTGTCGTGTCCACGACGTTGGTCTCGCTCACATAGGTCATTCCTTCGGAGTCTCGCAGGTTCTTGAGGAGTACCTGAGGAGTTTCGGAGAGTCGTGGAGGACAGCGGAAGACAAGGCCGCCCAGCATTGGCAATATCTCGACGACTCCTTGACTAAATATCAGGTCCACTCATTTGATCATCTCCAATGTTTTTCTGTCGCTGCCTGAGTAAGTACGTAGCGCTCTGTCGGGTTGTGGCTTTCGAAGATGTAAATGCACATCTGTCAGCTGGGCAGGCGCCTTGGAATTCTGAGTTCATAACCATCAATTTCTTATTTGGCTGTGGATAGTGACGATAGCAGGCTCTGCATCTAGGCACCCTGAAATATATTGCAACTGACAGAAGCAAGAAAATCATATACATTGTTTGCACGCCAATTCTTATGAATTTCACATTCAGAATCATTACACTTCCAGTCCAGATTTGTTCGAATGCAATTTGACCATCTCTAAATGTTTCTCTATCACTGCTTGAATAAGTAGCTCTTTCGGTTGTTGCTTTTGAGTATGTAAAGTTGTAAACGCACATCTCTGTCAGCTGAATGAGTTTCTTGGAATTCTTAGTTCATAATCTCCAATTTTGACGATAGTTGCTTCTTGCATCTAGGTGAATGTGATGCTTAAACATAATGCAACTTATAGAGCAAGCAAATCATATAAATTATCTGCAACCCATTGTTATGAACTTAACACTTTGACTGACATTCATAGCCATTATATTTCCCCCTGTCCAAATTTGTTGTCTTATGACTTAATAGTGTCCCATTTGCTGTTCGTATGGAGCCTGGCCCCGGTGCAGTGGTAGCTGAAAGTTATAGATAATAATAATCAGTTTCTTGCTAGTTGGGTTATTTACTTCTGCACATATTTTGTGTATTGGAGATAAGTTTTCCTGAACTTCCGAGATTGTCTCTTATGGGTTGGTCAAGTCTGTCCCTAGAAAAGGGATAACATCATATCCACTTACAATTAATGAATTGCGTGTGTCCGATAGAGCATTATCTCTTCCAGATATAATAGTCAAATCTCACCCGTCCGGTTGGTCTTTCCTGTAGGGTAGTTGTCCATTGGGGGCTCATGTTCTCAACAAATTACTTGTCATTTTGGCTCTGTAGTCCATACATGTAGTATAAAGAGTTTGTGCTTCGATTATTGACATGAGTTGTTCCTAATAATTATACAATCATCTCTCTAACATCAGTGCCAATAAGCACTACCAATAAACAATCATCATGTTCATGCAACCAAAATGAACTTACCAAAAGCCTAAAACAACATCTGTTTTAAACTGTAGCCAGTAGCTTTGTCCATGGAGTGGGTTCAAACAAGATCCATGCATAGTTTTTGCCTCTTTTTTGGCCTCGTGTTTTCTGGGTATTTCTGCAAATTTAAAATACCTACCTCAAGCATGGTTTTACTGCTTAGACGAGCCTTGTTTTGTCAGTAAATTGATCTGTTTGCCTTCCGATTATTTTTTGCTGTAGGATCCTGCAGAGGCCGACAAGCTGCTGAAGATCCAGAGAGACTTAGATGAAACCAAGATTATTCTTGTAAGTATGCTATCCCTGTGAACCTAATTGTATTCCTCCTTTAACTTATTGCCTATGTTCTGAATATATTGTTTATGGATGTGCGCGAATGCTTATATTGTTCAGTTGTGTTCACTATTCAGCAAAGACTGCATTATGTATATCTGCTTTGTGTTCAGTTCAGACTCAGTGCCATTGCACCATGAGTAAGCATGTGCACATATACATGGTACATAATTAACAAGCTAGGCGTATTCATGGAATTCGATTTACATGGACAGTTGGACATAAGTACTCGCATAGGTTGGAATTTTTTTTATCAGGGCAGAAATTTTGAAGCCCTGCTCGTCCTGGCTGTTTAAATCAACTTTTACCATATCAAATGTGTACCATGTAGATTTACTAGCTATTCTCACAGCACTTGCTTAAACAAACAATCCAAAGTTGAACCCATAGGAATTCATTTTTATTGCACGACCCTTTGGATAATGTCGCTGTGAACAATGAGTCCAGGTGTTTTCTCTTTTTGTGCAAGAATCCGAACATTTCAGGATGTATGCTACTCCTTCCGTCCAAAAAAACTTCTCCCAAACTTGTCTCTTAAATTGATGTATCTAGCACTAACTTGATGCTAGATACATTCATTTAAGGGACAAGCTTTTTCGGACGGACGGAGTATTTATGTAGTTGGATGTTATGTTTCCCACCCATCTGTTTATCCATAATTTGGGTGATTGCAGCACAAGACCATCGACAGCGTGCTGCAAAGGGGCGAACGATTGGATAGCCTGGTAGAGAAGAGTTCTGATCTAAGCGTCGCTTCACAGGTAGGGATGTATGTTTTTTTTTTCTCATTGGGTCATCCTGGTATGCTAATTGATTGATCCATGCAAGCAAGCGAACCTAGTAACGTTAGGCCCCTAATACAACAGGCAGGAGAGTTTCTCCCCAGATTTATGTAGCACTGTACGTAGATTCAGAAAGTTATGCTCATAGCCTCATGGGTCGATCAATTGGTTCACTTACGATGCATATCGTGCTGACTGTTTCCAGTTGCCCATCTGCAGATGTTCTACAAGCAGGCCAAGAAAACCAACTCCTGCTGCACAATCCTGTAATAACCAAGCTCAGCTCCCTAGGGTAGCGGCGTCGAGCTCGACCACCAGTACCGGAACCACACGTGTCTACATCCATTTTCTCTGCTATGATCCTGAGACGTAGTAACTGTCATAAACACCACGTCAGTGTCCAAAAAGTGTGTTGAACAACTAGTTCTCATGTGTGATTCTCTGTAAATAATGCATAAGTTTGGTCAGGTTGCGAGTTGCGTTTGCTGCTGCGTTCAAGCTGCTTGCCACTGCCATTTCTTAGAGACATGGACTAACTCCCTAGTAGCATTTTCTCGTCTATAACTGAACGGATGGCTCACACATTTCCAAAACAAAAAAGCAGAGGACAAATGAGTGCACATTTCTGAATGGATCCCAAAGTTTTTGCACTAGGCGGATGAAATGATGATCCACACTCACTCATATTTACAGTCACTCAAAAGACAGGTACTACCACCGGTAGTACAACACATGTAAGAGTTGACACGGCGGCAAAGCGAAGGACAATGATTTCAGCTAGCTCCAGGAGGACAGCAACAGGGCAACAGTGGAGAGGACGGCCATCAGGACGCCAATCATGGCGGCCCCGGCTCGCACGGGCTCGGCGGCACGCCCGGCCACCTGCACGAAAAGCGGCCATGAGCGCCTACACAGTGACAAATGTCACGTCGCATCACGGAAAAAGGGCAGGACCGTTGCCGGCCCGCCGGCGGTTTGTACGTACGTACCTTGGCGTTGTCGTCGGCGCGGGTCGTGTCCGGGAGCGGGCGCACGGTGGCGGTGTCGGTGACGCCGGTGGGCAGCGGCACCGTGGGGTTGCTGCCGATGAACGGGTACCCCTCGCTGCCGGCCCCCTTTTTCGGCAGTGCTCCGGACGGGCCGCCCGCGGTGACGCCCACCGTCGGCTCCAGCGGGAACCCGAAGTGCGGCGTGGTGGTCGCCTGCGGCTCCGGGGCGCGCGTGTAGACCGGGGCCGGCGGGCGAGACGTTGGCAGGCCGTCTGACCCCGCGGTCGGTGACGGAGCGTGGTGCGGCGCCGGTGCCGGCGAGACGCCGTGCTGACGGTGGTGGTGGTGGCGCGGGGACGCCGCAGGTGCAGGGCCGTGGTAGTAGCCTCCGCCTCCAGGGCCAGGCGAAGGTTGCCGCTGCGAGAAAAAAAAGTTTACGGAGGAGCAGCTCAGCCATTGCTGCTTCCTGCGAGCGAGAAAGACGGGAGAGAGACGGAAGCAGAGCTAGTTATATTACCCTGGGGTCGGCCGGCACGGAGTAGGCCGCGGAGGCGCCGGCGGCGAGGCAGCAGAGGAGGCAGACGGCGGCGGCAGCGAGGGCGAGAGAGGGAGCGGGGACGCCGCCATTGCGCGCCATTCTCCTCCTAGCTAGCTAGCTCTCTGCTCCTCCTAGCCACTGTCTCCCTGCCCCACTCACAAGGTCACAGCTACTACACTCGACTACAACGACCGGTAGTTCGGTGGCAGGAGTAATGGAATGGACGGGTCTGAGGTCTGAGGCTCTGAGCTAGTACACTGCTTCACGCTGAGACGAGCGGGGGGGCAGCAATGGCGGCAGCAGAGGTTGGCGCGGGCATTAAATGCGGCACGGGGAGGTGGTGGTGATGATTGATGGAGGCCGGCCGCTTTGGCGCCGGGAGGGAGCGTGCAGAGGAAAAGGACAGTGCGAGTGAGGAGACCGAAAGGGACGCTCTTTCTTCCTTTCTTCCTTTCTCGTTGTGAGTGTGAGACAGTGAGGGTGGGGGATACGAGGCTCGCTCCTCCGTTCGGAATCTTTGGGCGCTGCGCGGCGTGTCGCGCCGTTTGCTCCTTTGCTTTGCTTTGCTTCCATGCTTTGCGTTGGGACCGGGACGAGGTGAGTTTACAAATCCTTTTGCAAGGTTTCGTTGTCCATCGCGCGGAATGTTTCGAAATTTGAGCGACCACTCGCTCCAGCGTTCGCGTGCCAGCGGACGGACGGCGTCGAATTTGACCGCTACAGGTACCGTGTAGTGATTCAACGGACAACAGTGCATGCAAGTGCAAACCAACGATACGTTCCATTCATTTCTTTCTTTTTGTTTCTCCTGTGGAAGTCTACGTGCGTCCACTCCTATCACATCGGCGTGTCAGTCGTGGCCAAATTTTGGGTCCGTGGAGGCCTGACCATCGGGTCATATTGAAATCATGCTCCCGCCAGTTGTTCCAATAGTCTGATCTGACCTGATCTGCTGAAGATAATCGGACGATATATATACCTCGACACGGCTCAAGCAATGTTTACCCGCCACAATGATTAGTATCTGCCAAATGTTTTGCGTTTTCAAGGCATAGCCGTTAGATCTCTGCATGGAGATTCGTGCTGAGCAGTGCACCATCCACACAGACCACGCATCATTTTTGCCACACCATTTGCAGCATATCTTCCCGCCGGTTGCAGCATCCGTCTTGCTAGGTTGTAGCATGCTGCCTCATTGGACACACCATGTGCCCTTGACGATTGTAGCGCGTCGTCCCGCCGGTCGCGACATCGGACGTTGATGATGCTTGCAACATTTAGTCACAATGCCTGTAGCGTCCATTGTATTTGCTTGCAGCAATGCTTGCAACATTTTTCCCAGCCAGCTGCAGCATCTAATCGTGCCGCTCGTAACACCACTACTACGCCGATGTCACTCTATCGACACTTCGTTAAGTCTCAGTCGACTGAGCTATTCTAGGCACAGGCTTAGAAAAGTACACTCAACAATGAATCTAATGATGTTGATTTGTTGTTGTATATGTTAATATTTTTTACTATAAACTTGTCAAATTTTGCCGAGCTTGACTTTGACCAAAGCTCATACATGAAGAAACTAAAAACGGAGGGAGTACATATGCATGTCCTCTAACTATATGTGGTTGTTCGTTAAAAAATACGTTATGATATACGCTGCAAAAAAGGACAAATTTTTGGTCCAAGACCAGCAGGGAGAAAATCTCCCATATTTTTATGTACTAGATGATACCCCGCACGTTGTTGTTGCGAGAAACGATTCGTTTTCTTCTTCTTCACAAGTGGCCGTCGCTTTTGGTTCTATAAGAGCATCTCTAGCAGACCCCGTATAAGTGGTCAAACCCGCAAAATAACTGTTTTTTGCAGTTCCAGTCAAAAAAACAAGCCCGAACAAACCCCTTAAAATCGTCCGACCCTTCAAAATTTTTAAGGGCCCCTGCAAACGCAAACGCGAAACCCTCATATATGCAATTTTGAGGGCAACTTTCCCAGGGCCCTGCATACCGGTCAACGTTGGCGGTTGAGGAATCTTTGTTCCCGCCAACGCCATGAAGCTCGCCCGGCCGCCGCGCCCGTCCGCCTCCTGGCCACCGCGGCCGTCCGCCCCGGCCACCGCGCTCGCCAGCCGGCCGTCCGATAGCCGGCCGGCCCTCCGTCCCGGCCGCCGTGCTCGCCTGTGGCTCCGCGGCTCTCGAACGGAGCTAGCTAGCTAGCTCCTTCGGTCCAGCCGCCGATTGCGCCTGCCCGGCAGCCCTGGCCTCTGCACGCGCCGCGCTCGCCTCGGCCGTCCTGGCCTCCGCCCATGCCGCGCTCGCCCCGGCCACCCTGGTCTCCGCCCTCGCCGCGTTCGCCTCACATTTTCTCTCGTCCGCCTATCCGCTGGATTGACGCGAGGAAGAGGACGACCTGCATATATTCAGTATATTCGGAGAATATTTTTTTTTACGGATTGATTGTACGGGGTCTGAGTCTGTCCACGCCCGCGTCGGCCTGCATATACCCTTTTCCGCGAACTGCAAAAGTCTTATGCGGGTCGGGATTTTGCGGGGTCTACTAGAGATGCTCTAATGACTCCCTTTTAACTAACAAACGCATGGGCAGCATGGTGGTTGTAGCTTCATGCTTCCACACTGGAGACCCTGGTTCGAACCTGGCTACTTCCCCTTTTCCTTTACACCTCTCGTTTCTTTCTTTGGGGCAGATTGCAATGCCTTTCAAAAATTCATAACTTTCAAACCCTAACTCACCTCTCATTTTTTTGTTTTTTTCGGGCAGATTGCAATGCCTTTCAAAATTTCATAACTTTCAAACCCTAACTTCAAATTTAAACTCTCCCTTTTCCTTTTCACCTCTCTTTTTTTATTTTTTTCGGGCAGGTTGTAATGCCTTTCAAAATTTCATAACTTTCAAACCTTAACTCCAAATTTAATATTTTATATAAAAAATCTTCAAAAAATGTAGATTTCAAAAATGTCTTGCGTGCTAATCATTTCTATAATTTTGTTTAGTATGCAATCTTAATTAATATCTTTTTCATATGCCGTGCAAAAAATAAAAAATATCTTCTTCATATGGGGTATTTTAGAAATGCCTATTATTTCTGTCATCTAATAAATTGGAAACACTTTGAGTACATTTTTTGCAGGAACACTTTGAGTACACTTTAAAAATCATCCCATCTTTTTTTTTTGCACAAAACAACTTGTCATGTTGTTTGTCATGGGGCATCGTGAATTTCTAGGGATTTGCTGATGTTGTCGGGTGTGTATGTATAAGGGGTGTTTTTTTTCTTCCGTTGCAACACACGCGCATGTTTTGCTATGTAGGACTATATAGTTTTTCTCCGTCAGACATTGCATTTATCTTCCTTGATTCTTTTCTTTGACACTTAAAAATATGTTAAAAAGAGATGCGTACATCTTGTGCTATTTTTTTGTATGTGCAATTCAGTATATATGAATCCAATAACGCTTCATGAAATACCTTACTGATCAAGGTGACAAATCAATATTTTCCTTATGTTTGGCTAATTGTTATGTCTCAAGACAAATAACGATATTCATTGCAAGAGAGTTGTTCACCTAAGGCAAAGCTACGTGAAGGTAAGGGAACAGGAGATATAGAGGCAAAAGTTGTTAGCAGGTGCTACCAACGCATAAATGTTCTTATTGATGAATGTGATGTGATGGCATAAAATGTCACCTCTTCATGGTCAATGATAATTTAGTGTATGTTCTATTACAAGAATTTGGCAGAAGTCCTCTGCCCAATGATGCGATGAGTAGGAAGCCGTGTGTGGCATTATGCTTGCTTGGTGCCTCCACTATAAAAAAAAGACACATCCGTGACATTTTGGACCGAATGAATTTTTTTTCTGTCATACATATGACACTTCTATGACGATAATTGTGACAGAACCCGGTATCATCATAGATGTGGTGGGCTCCTACTTCTATGATGAAAAATCATGACAGAAAATGGGGTTTTCGTCCTGGGCGGGCCGGAGACGCAGCTGCATGACATTCTTTGGGCCGTCCATGACGGAAAAAGCCGTGATAGAAGCGAGGGGTAGGAAAGTTTCAGGGAGTTGCCGGTTACGGTGGGAGGTCAGGGGCCGAGCGATGCGCGTTTCTCTCGTACACGTACGCACGTGTGTGCGATGCGTTGGCTCTAACTGAACCCGAGCGAGGTGTTGGGCTCTAACTGAACCGAGCGATTGTACTGCAGGTTACGCGTTACTGAAGCCGAGCGATCGATCGATGGCTGTTAACTGAACCCGATGGAGCGATTCCTTCGCAACCGCTACTAAC